AGACAATTAGAAGTGATCAAGCCCTGCATCATAATACTTGATATATAGCTTAGCAGGTAGAGAATCAATTTTCCCAGAGTTCATCATATGATGCATGGTTGCAGTTTACCTTCCAGAAAACCTCTGATTAACTTCTTCACCTCCAACCCTGGTTGTTCCAAGTCCACCACCTAGTCTGCGAGGACGCCAATTTGGAACTGTTCTACCACGCTCAACATCTACAAGCACCCTTCTGCCATCAAGCTTCCTCCCATCAGCTTGTTTGTACGCAGCTGTGAGATGTAAAGGAGTTGTGCTTTTTTAGAAAACAGTTCAAAAGCATATCAGACCGAAACTAACAAGTGCATAATACAGAAGCAACCTTTCATATCCCGCGTATGCATGTATTCGATGAACGCATATCCTTTGGGTTTATTTGTCTCTTTATCAGTAACCAAACGGACCTGAGAAGCTCAAAGCAAAAGAGAAAAAAAAATATGAACCACAGTTACAGGAGAAAACTAGACCTCAGAGGGATCAGAAATTCATGACAAACACTTTGTACTTTCTGTAACCAAGTGACAACCCTACACAGAGGTAGAAATAGTAAATCCTAAATGGCACGGCAGACAGGCACTATGCCTCATTAGCCGTGCTCACCTTTTTATCATAGGAATTGCCTCGCGAGATGCATCACCACCATTGCTAGAGTTGCAGATTAACTGATGTATTGTAGCAAATTTACCAATTGTTGAACAGACTAGACCTCCCCTTACCAGGGAATAAATGTTTTAAATGACAAAACTGTTGTAGATAATATAGATAATACAGAAAATACCGGTACATCTTCTCAACTGCTGATAGGTTTTTGATAGCCTTTAAAGCCAAAAGTAAAATTTAGTAGCAAGTAATGCATACTATAAATTCAAATAAAAGAGAAAGAGATGCTAATACTCCCTACATATTTTACCCACTGCAGGAAAAACAACAGATGATGGTCTCCTTTTGTAGCTCGAAAATAAAGGCCAAAAGGCACAATGCATCACTGCTCTGGTCAACTTAAAATTTCAGCTTTACTGTGCAGGATGAAGCACCATCTTTGGAATGGAATTGTAGGAAATGGGAACAAAAATTCATTTGCAGAACAGAGTAATAAGCCCCCTTACCAGAGGTTGACTTAATACTACAAAAGAATATCTAAAGAGTGGAAGAATGCCTTTTCTCTCTTTATTTCCCCCCCAAAAAAATTGAAGAAAGCCCCTGTCCCATAATGATTCCTAAATCAAACTATACCAAAAGAAAGTTAAGGATTAATTGAACAAAATACCGTACACTGTAACCGAAAAAGCGGCAAGTAACACCTTAGCTATTATTCCAACTTGCACACTCCATTCGATGGTATATAATTGAACAGGGAGATGTCAACATTCTCTCTCTCACGATTACTATAGATGTTGAAGAGAACATACCCTTGTAATCACTAACTACACTTACCATCCACGAATTCTTGCAACTGTCATCTATTACTATAATCAATGTAATTGAGAGTGGATTTCAGAACCACTTTAAAGACATGGCAAGAATACAGGCAAAATTGAACAAGCTTAAATTTATAGTACAAAAAGAATTTAAGTTTTGTCACAAAAAATTGCAAACACAAATCATAAAAGTCTCAAATCTTGATTTTATAAAAATAAACCATTTTGGAAAGTAAACAGAAAGAAAAAAGTGGCACATAACCTCTTACCAAACCCATTGGGGATGCTCAAAAATACCTACCCGTTTAATTGGTCCATAAGACTCAAACTCCCTTTTGATTCTACTCTCGGTGGTCTCGTAACTCTGCAAGCATACAAAATAACTAATAAATCATAGAGGAAAAACTAAGGAAAAAAAAAAAGAAAGATAACAAGTAGGATATTTATCGCTTACAAGCCTAGCGACAAACAATGTCTTGTATGGATCTCCTGAAATATTTGGGTCACTACTGGGGTCATCTGCAGAAACAGGGAATATATTGTATCAGAGAAACAAAACTTTTAAGACTTTGAAAACATCAAATCCACCTTTATATGAACTTTATAGAAGAAAGGTGGCATTACATTTCTGAAGTTCTTCAGCAGCCTTTTCTGCACCCTTCTCTAGCCGTAACTTATGGATTCTAGCTCTTCTTTGTGCCTGAAGCCAGAAAAACGATTTAAGAGGGGAAAAAAAAAAAAAAAGAAGAAGAAGAAAGAAAGAGCAGTTCTCTCTTGAGATGAACAAGCAACTCAAATGATAAATATGTCTAAATTAAACGAGGTCAATAACCAAGCAAGTTTTATTGTTTCAGATATATCCATTAGCTCCACTAACCAATAATACCAACTGTTAGGAGAAGCATCTTTAGAGATGACAGCCTTATGCAGAATACCCAAAGTTACAATAAATTTCCAAACCAAAATGTCGGTAAATATATCCAAAGATAGGTGAATCTATAATAATACTTTGAATTTGAAAAGACATTTCAATCCGTAGAAAAGATAAAACTTGTCATCTAATCACCATTTATACCTTCAAGAAGCATTAATAGCCTTAACTACTTGAAATACTTTGGAAAAAAAGCAGAAGTTATTACAGATAAACAACGAAATGCTTTAATTATATGAATCCTGTTCAAATAGAAGTTATATACAGATAAACAATGAATGCTTTAATATATGGATATGCTCAAAAAGATAACTAACAGGCATTAGCTTTGATATATAAAACAAGAAACATAAATAGGAGCGATCATGATGTCACCTAAAATGCAGATTAGAAATTGAATAAGTTTTAATAAAAAGAAGGAATCTTATTACAGGAGTTTCAGCCTCTGGTACAGGTGGAGCATACTCGGATCTCCTGGCTCAGCAAAGTTACTCACAAACTGCGCCATTCCTAAAAAAAAAAAAAAAAAAAAAAAAAAAAATTAATACAGCACCTCAACAGAATCAATAGTTGCTAATCAATATCAAAAGAATACCCATCATGGTGGTATTGTAATTTTGTAGGACCTGTAAGTGATGGGCATTTTCTTTTCTCAATAGCCGGCTTATACTCCAGTGGGGGTCGAGGCTCAAATAACTTCAGAAGATTTGCTGTTAAGCCAGTAGGATGACTTTGCCCAATCTGCACAAAATAAAATAGACAAAAGTCTTGATCACATCCATGCAAGAAAAAAGTTAAAAGAAAACGGAAAAACAGAATTTAGGTTGTGTGCTTGTTTAGAAAGGGGGGTTTCAAATAGCAAAATCATATTTCTTTGCTCAAGTAAAATCAATAAAGAAACACAAATAACTCAATTGCACTATCTTGCAATCAGGAGCAGAACTTGAACTTGTATATCCTCTAGGTAGAAAGAAAAGCAATTTAAAAACGCTTACCAAACGGATATTGAATCAAAATTAGTCTAAAAACTTTCAATTCCTCATTCCTGTCACCTAATTTCCTCCAATATTTTCATTATTGTTTTATAACCTATATACTAACACATGGGTCTACAGGACCGATTAAAACCTAATAACTTGGTTAAAAAACCAAATAATATCAAATAATATTATATATAGCACAAAATCCTTTAGAACTACTAATGATTACATAATAAAACATGTAAATCCACATTAATCTATACAAAAGATCAAATGACCTAAAATCATCAGATATTAACATCAAAACAAAGAACCTCAAAATTTTCATGAAACAAAAACGAGGTGTAATAAAACACTAACCAGCTTAAGCTGAAGGACATTGGCGCGGTTCTGAGCCTTGGTACGAGCCTGAACGGCGGCGTTTTGGTTGCGCATGAAGGGATCGTTGTAGTCTCCCATGTTGTAAGAGATCGGGGCTAAACTAGGGTTTTAGAAGCAATCGAGGGTTGATGATGAGATTATTAAGAAGATAACATGAAACAGTTCGATATCTGTTTATTAGGGTCGGGTTGGGTGAGTTCGGGTAAAAAGTGAAAATGGAGCCTGCGAGCGGCAGCCAAAAGGTAGAGGAAAGTGTCGAGAAGGTATTTATAGACTGACTGACTGACTGTACTTAAAAATTCAGCAAGTAGTTTCTCAGCTCATAGATATGAGTTGATACGACGCCGTTTAGCACATTAGTTTAATGCATTAATAACATTAAAATTTAAATCACATTGAAGTATTTTTCTATTATACAAATCTTTAAAAAGAGAGAGACAGAAACTACATAAACATCAGCGAGTGGGCTGCGCCTTTTGTTTGATTCAGTATTTTATGGAAAATAAGAATAAAAGCTGGTTATATTAAAAAAACCCATCTCATAAGGGGTTTAGAAATCGACCATTATAGTTTTTATTTGGTCTTAGTTCTAAGGTATATAGAGATTAATTGAGACTGATATATAATAATAAAAAAAAAAAATTGTAAAGGTTGGTTATGTTCATGATTATGAAAACACCCTTTTTTTTTCGTTGGAGTACGACATAAACATAGTAGTAATCTTCCTCTATCAAATATCTGTCTTTGAAAAAAAAATTAATTGATTTATCATATTTTTACCCTTATCAATTATCATTGTTATTTTCTTTTAAGTCCTTTTTAGTAGTCCTTATTTATATATTTTTTTAATTTTCAAAATAATTATAAAAATTAAAAAGAAAATTAAAAGTAGGACCAGAAAAGCAAAACTTTTTAACATTATTAGTAACTATCAAATGTAGAACCTTGCAGTTGCAGGCCACTCACAACATTAACATACTTGAAATAATACTTTTTTTTTTTTTTTTTTTTAATGATTGAGAGCGTTCGTATCAACTTACGAGCACCTCAACATGACCATTTTAAGTGTGTAATACAATAAATATAAACAATATATACGCATCATATAAACTAATGAATAGAATACATGAAAAAAATCCTAACTCAAAAGTTAAACAAAGAAATTAACCACCACATAGAGAAAAGTGTGTTATTAAAAAGATTCAAACGTTTAATTTTGTTGATTATAATGTATATTAATGGAAGGTAGTAGTGTAAAAATACATCTGATAGAAAAAATTAAGTCAGTTAATTTAATTAAAGAAGGTCACCATTTACATGTTACAACCCAATCAATGACTTCAATCTGACCTAAATTCAACCCCCCAGATATAACTAAAAAGAATGACAATGAAAAACAAGAAGCGCATACTTAAGGTAATAATCGTTGTGATCTCAAATACATGATCACAGAAATGGCCGTAGTTACTAGTTAGTAAATTCAAGCTCATCCATTCTTGTAGTTAGGGTGCTCATGTATTGTGCTTTTGTTGGACGGGCGTACCAAGTTCACGGGACTCAGCCCCATACTCACTGCTAAATTCTTGGCTCCCCAAAGCCACCTGTCTGAACTTCTTCATGTCAGCAGAATATGAAGATGAACTATATTCAGTGCTTCCCATTGAGGCACCAAAGACGGAGCTCTGTCCAGGCTTTACACCATCATGTAAGTCTTCTAGCGAAGAATCTCCTTCCAGAGCACGAACTATCTGCTTTCCATTATTAATGTATTATTATGTGTTTAATTATGCGTCTAATTAATAATCAATCACCCATCTCATTCCCATTCCCATTCCATACCTGGCTCATTTTTGGGCGCTTTCTACCAGAGTGTCGCACGCTAGCAACAGCACAGGCTACCATGCGTGCCATTTCATGAGGTTCATAGTTATTCTCCAAGCGAGGATCCACCAACCGATCATAATTTCCACTCTCCAGTGCTTCATTTGCAACTGATCTAGCCTGTATGTTATGATGTCTTACCTTAGTAAATTTTGCTCAAAATAATTTCATTCTATATTGCAAGATACTTAATTCAGAAGAGAGGACTCACCCAGTCTACTAAACTATCTTCCATCATAGTTATATCAACAGGTTTCCTTCCAGTTATGAGCTCCAGAAGCATGACACCATATGAGAAAACATCAGATTTTTCTGTTAATTTACCACTTGATGCATATTCTGGAGCCAAATACCTGCATTTGCACATTGTCAGCTTCCCAACTTAGTGGTCTCAAAATTCAGATCACCATATTCTCTAAATTGCATACAAGGGACTGTTTAAAGCAGATTCTACCCTTCTGCTACCCAAATTTCATCCTCGCTTCAGTTGGTCCTGCTATGCTATTATAAACCGACTCTTGTCCTACCTCATTTTAATTATCTTCTATTCTGTAAGTGAAATTCTCTCTATCTCCTTGTTTAAGATGAATATATATATATATAACTGATGCCTGATGACTGATTCAAAGATACAGAACTGGTTGCTGATGTTGTTACATTATAACATTGTTATAATTCAAATGTATGGACACAAAATTCAGAGTATAACACATATTTTGTAAATCAAAAGTGAATGCTACACATTCATCTTTCTTGAGAATGCTCTAAACTATAACCTTAATCAGAAACTTGAAATGGTATTATTTACCCGAAAGTCCCCATGACACGAGTAGAGACATGAGTGTGGTTGTCAGAAGACAGTTTTGCCAATCCAAAGTCTGCCACCTGTGTGAGAAGTATTGCAGCATGATTAATTAGCTTCGTGTGCTTAATTAAGTATCATAGCGGATATTAAGGCATCATTATGGCTCCTTTTAGTCTACATCTCTTTAAAAGAACATACAAATTGTTAAGGAAACAGATACCATGGCCTCAAAGTTGTTGTCAAGGAGAATATTAGCAGCCTTGATGTCTCGATGGATAATCCGCGGATGGCCTGCAAGCAACATTCCACAAAATAATGAGACTAGAACATGCAGAAGAACATGAAGAGAGACAGAGATAGGCTATGTTGTCTTACAATCTTCGTGAAGGTAAGCAAGTCCTTTTGCAGACCCTAGTGCAATACGAAGCCTAGTAGGCCAATCCATGACTGGTCGATCCTTTCCTGCGACCAAAAATTGTAAGAGGACGAGGCTGTAGCATAATCAACTTTTAGTAACTGCTTATTTTTCTGGGTGACAACACCAGAAACCTAAAGCTCAATGTTCTTCAATCAAAGATTATATATTTCCCACTTTATTTATCTTTCACGGCTGTGAAATTTCCATTTAAGGTTTCTTCTTGCAATTCACAGTGTATATGTACCTGAACTTTGGTGGGGTAGAAGACTATCATGTCAAAAATGAAGTGTAAAATTAACTTGATGATGGAGGTAAACAGAGGAAATTTATATTAAAAATGAAAATTACCATGAAGATGAAATTCCATAGTCTTGTTGGGAAGAAATTCATAGACCAGAAGGCGTTGCCCTCCAGTAATACAATATCCAACAAGTGATACAAGATGGCGATGATGGACACGGCTAATGATTTCAACTTCAGCTTGGAATTCTCGCTCTCCTTGACCACTACCTATCTTCAGGCTTTTAACTGCAATCTCCTTTCCATTAGGCAACACACCCTTGTGAACATAACCAAATCCACCTTGACCCAACAGATTGGATTGCGCAAATCCCCCTGTTGCAGCTGCTAGCTCTTCATAAGTAAAAGTACTTTGGTTAAATCCAAGAGCAATATTTGGGGATGGAGGAGGCAAGGGGGGACGCACTGGGCCAGAGTATTGGGAGCTCATTTCTCCACTGCTTATCATATGTGGAGGTGCTGGAGAAGAATGCCAGCCACCACCTCCTGGTGGTGGGGGCATCTTTCCACCATCTCCTCCTTGGGGATGCCAGTTCGGATTTCCTCCCTGCCAGTTTGGATGTGGTGAACTGTTGTAATATGGGTCAACTGCTTGCAAATCATACAAACATAATTAATTTTAATTACCATGAGCTTCCTTTCCATTCATATGTTAAAAAAAAAAAAAAATTATTGCTACACAAGGAAGGACCTTTATATCGGTTGGACTGATGATCATAATATGGCATTGGTTGTTGATGGTGTTGTAGATGGCGCTTTTTCTTCTTCCTCCTATTCTTTATAGCACAAAGGGCGATCAAAGCAACGAGAAGTAACCCCAAACCAAGTGCTCCTGCTACAGTATATATGAGGTAATTGTCAGACGATGAAGATGAGGAAGATGATGATGATCTTGGAGGCGGTGGTGGTGAAACTTTCTTTGCTGGTGGTGGCGGGGAATGATGAGGCGGTGGAGGTGGAGTAAATGTAGTGGGCGGTGTACGTGGAGTATTAGTATTACCAGTAGGAGAAGGAGGTGAATGAGGGGGACTCTGTGGAGGTGGTGGTGACGATGAGGACGATGAACCTGGAGGTGAGTTTCCAGCATCTGGAGGTGAGTTTCCAGAATCTGGTGGTGGTGATGAAGAAGGTGGAGGCGATGAAGGAGGGGGAGAGGAAGGAGGGGGAGAGGAAGGTGGAGGAGACGAAGGTGGAGGAGATGATGGCGGGGGAGAAGAAGGAGGAGGAGAGGAAGACGATGAAGAATTACTATTGCCACTATTATTGTTATTATTATTATTATCATTACTAGTATTATTGGAAGAAGAAGAATTATTGTCTGATGGCGGTGGAGTATCTGGAGCTGGGGCACTGCTGTTGCTCATTGTATCAGCTAAAGAACTGCCGCCCAGGAAACTCCACCTCTCCCAGAACTTCCCGTCTCAGGTTTTGAGGACCCTGAAGACGAATGAAACAAATATTATTGCAGGAATTGAATAAATGAAAATGCACAATGTAATGTGTAGAATGTTTCAAGTCTGTTACCACTATAATGGGATGATCTAATGTTCTTCCTCCAACACCATGAACAACACAAAAAACAATTAAATATTCACATGCAACACTAGTTTCAAGGAATTTCAAGTAAAAACATTTGCTATAAACACCTAGTCTTGACAATTAAAAATTCAATATAGATATGCAATAACCATATCTAATGGGTAGAGAAAGATTTACCTGAATGAAGAAGATACAAAGGGTCTCAAAAGGGAAGAGAGAGAAAGGTTTTGCTTGGTGAAATTCCTATTCTAGATAGGGAAACATGTCAATCCAATGTAGCTTGCGTCTCTCTCTCTTTCTTCTGTATTAGCCAATCTTAGTTTAGTTTGAGTTGGTTATTGCTTTTACCATTTCCTGCCTGCAGTTTTTGCTTAAGCTATCACAACCTTTAATTTCCTTCTAACATGGCCTAATTCTTTCAAATATAGACTTATCTCCACCATTTACGCTCGGCTTTACGTAACAAAGACAACCTCGTATTAACTAATTAGTCAACTACTTTTTACCATACTAACTACAACATTGAGCTCTTTATTTACATTCATTCTATCCAACTGGAAACAACCACCTTCCACGAACGGGACTCCTTTTTTTATGAGGATATTGGATGGATACAGTTTTGTTGATGCTTTTAGTTTCTGTCAAGACAACAAGAAGATAGGCTATTGGGTAACATCATAATATGATTTTATCTTCAATCAAATCCCAACACAGCATATATATATATAACCAAAAACCCAATACTATTACTATATAACTTGAAGAAAAATCAACTTGCCGTGACTGCAATTGCACTCGGGAAGAAACCATGTACATGATTCCATTACGATACAGGAAGACCATCAAGATTGAAGCTTCTAGACCTTTCTCAAATTTGAACAGATTATATTCAATATGCAAATATGCAATAATGCAAACTTCGAAAACTAACCACAGTTATCACAATGAACAAGAAACCATTTATAACATCTCACAACTATAGTCACAGCAATTGATCTGAACAGAACCTAAAAATTGAAGAAGATTCCATTTCTCAATGTTTCAAAGATATAGAAACAACATAGCTCAATATCACAAGATTTAGAAACATCATAGTTCAATATCACAAGATTTATAAACATCATGGTTCAACATCACTGGGCTCAAACAAAGTAAAGACGACATCAAAATTAAAGCTTCATCTAGTCCTAAACTTTGAATAGTAGTTCATGATCTAAATTCCACAACTAATCTGGAGTTTCTAGTTGGAATTTCCAAAAATCATCGTCCAAAACTTCCAGAGAGTGGAACTCGCAATGAAATCTGGTTACGCAGCTACCTGTGCACAGTCACAAGGCTATTTATATAAGGCAGAAAAGTCTCAAAATCTTCAGTCCTCTCCTCACTTAACAATTCCACCTTCTGTTCTCTCACATGATAAGCAATAACCCTCCTTGGGAGCAAAATTATCAACATGTCATCATTAACACATGTCAAAACACGGCAATTGGAAACTGTTTCCCCCACAACTTCAGATTTAAGAGGAATTACACACTTCAGGCTCATAGCCATATTGCCATAAACATTTAACATGCATTTTCCATCTTGTATTTGAGGAAGGATGTAACACAATTCCCCATACATCTGCATCATAGCACCATGTGATTCAATGCTAGAAAGGAGTGGCAAAATCCCATAGAGCTCGTTCTTCAAATCAAAAGCTAGAACTGGACCAGTTAATGTCTTCCAATAGACAACGTTCTTCATGTAGAACCCATTACGACTCAGATTCAAGGCAATGGGTTCACCGCATATTGTATCAGCAACCCTCCAAGAGTTTGAGCTCTTTGAGTAAATCTCAAAAAACAAAACTGAGAAACCATTTAAAGTAACAGGGACAGCACACACAATCCAATAATTTGCAGAAAAGTTCAGTGCAGTAGGGTCAAATGCAAGTGCTATTGCTGTTTCAGGAGTATGGCACAAATTTGGCTCAGGAAGCACTTCCCAGTCCTCAGTCACAGGGTTGCACATGTAGTAGACAAACTCATCATTACGGCTTTGGCAGCATACCAATCCGTTGCATGCGGCTCTGATACAAACACGTTCAGGCAAGAACTCCAGGGAGGGACTGGGAATGCTGTAAGCATCTCGATTGAATGAGATGAAGGAGGGGTCTGAATAAGGAGACTGACAAAGAAGGCCAGAAATATCTTTAAAGTGGGTAGTTTGCATGTGAGCCAGAAAAGGACTACTTATCCACCGGTTCCACTCTTTAGAAACAGCTCTGAACCTGCAAAGCGATTTTGCTGGTAGGAAGGGAAGAGCATGCTGCTTTATGACCTCTTCCAGGGGTGGACAATCCTTCGGCTCAAGGTAGAACCTTGTTTTCATAGGTTGATGATATTCAAAATCAGACTTATATTCGTGATGAAAGACTTCTTCCACTGTCTTGTTATTCTGTATAATCTCCATTACACCTACAACTAAAGATGAATAGATTAGTCAGAGTAAAACACAATTTGATTTACTTGCTAAATAGCCTAGCAATGTGAGACGCTTAAGTACATAGCAAAAAATAAAATAAAAAATTCATCCATCAAACTGGCCATAACGTAGTAAAAATCAAGCATGACACCAACTTAAGAAAAAATTAGCACTAATCAGAACCAGCAGACCTATTAGCATATAAATTAAAAACAAAAACGTATTCAACTTCACTATACATGAGTACTGGCCACAAGCATATATATTAACAGAAATCAATGGTCAGTTCATGTTATCCGGCAATGAGAAAAACCCATTTACCAAGAACAATTAAAGATTCTAATCCCTCTCAATCGACTAACAGACATGAAAAGAAAGATGATAGCAAAGAAAAGCTAAAAGAAAAACTCACCAATGCTGAATGAAGTTAATGAAATCACTTCAAAATGGATCTCCACAGACACTTAATTTCTCAACCCTCACCTGTTTACAGAATAATTTTCTTTTGAGTTGTGAAGAGAAGTTTGGAACGAAAATCTTTTTATATATATGTATATATATACAGTGTCACCTAATGCTCACAAAAGCGACTCATTCCAAAGATTAGTAGGCACACAAGGACCAAACAAATTAACGCAAGTAAATAAATCTTGATCTTCAAGCAAAGATTACTTGCTACGCAAGGCACCAAAAAAAGAAGGTAATCAAATTAATTTAGTGTACTAGCTATACTCAAAAAAATTCGGTTAATTTTTTTTTTTTTTTTTTTTTAAATTCCCTAATCTTTTTCCCCAGTTAACAAATATATATAACCCGAATTGACCCAAACAAAAGTCAAGCAAACCAATTACCTAAACAAGAAAATTCACAGACTTCAGAAAGAAACAGAGGATGCAGCAATTTTACATCAAACTATGAGAATCCAGAAGAAAAACTTAAACAAAAACACGAACCAAGACATATCAAGAAGGCAAAAAAGATTTAACACCCAGAAATGAAGTACCAAGATCGACTCTTTTTTTATTTTTATTTTTTTTAAACGGAAACAAAAAAAAATAGGTAAAAAAAAAAAACCCACAAAAAGAAGCATTCAAAGAGTGAGAACACTACCTGTGAAAGCGAAGAGATGAAGACTGAAAAACGTCGCAAGCGAAGAGAGAAACAGAGAGTATTTATGGTGAGAAAATTTCAGCGTGTTATGCAAGTCGCTGTCTCCTGGTTTTGAAAGTGTAACTTACTAACTATTGACACAACATTACTCACGAGTTATATGAGAGAAGTCAGCACAGGTGGCTTCGTTTAATTGGATAAAATGGCGTCAAGTCGTCCATTTAAGGTCAACAGTGCCCGTATTACAAGTTGGGATTTTGCAAAGATCGCGTACAATTTAATTCACCAAGTCCTTGAGGGCAAAGCAAAAGGATTTACTGTAGTACTTTTTATGAATAAAAGATTCCTTTTATGTGGACGATATTTTTGAATATTTTTGCTATTAATTTTAGTATTTTAATGAGTTCATCGGACGACGTTAAAACAAATTATTTATGTTTAAAATGTTATTTTATTAAGCAATAATAAATTTACCACTTGAGGAATGTAATTTTATAAATTTTTTATATAAATTGCTGTTTATTATTTTGAATATTTTATACGTATAAATTTTTTATTTACACGAGGAAAACTATATTAACTGAATTAATTAATTATTAGATATTCTAACGCCAAGAATCTGCCAAAGATTTTAGACATACGCGCTGGTGATGTCATCTGCTTTGCAAAGGCTCTTTTCTGGTGACATCACTACATTATTGGAAATATAATTTTATTTATTTGTTTTTATAATTTTTTTCAGTCTCTATTAATTCTATTAATTATTGTGGTGGAATGATGAATATTCCTACTACCATGATGGACGAAAATATCCTTCATTGCTACCAAAATAGAGAAATTTGCATATGGGCAAAATCAGGAGATAAATGTAAATATAATGGTTTAGGAGGTACCCAAATTAGGAGATTTATGATAGGACTCAAGAGAAACTAGAAAATTACTCCTTTTCGACTATAATAAATGCCACTGTTACTCTTCCACGATATCTCAATTTGTATCTCTATATTTATCACTAGGTAGGATTAATTACTAAATTACCATCACAACTCCAATCTCTTCACATTCATGGGAAGTCATTATCAATTTTTTTTTTTTTTTTTTCATTCAAGGGTGTCCGACCAACTTACACGCATCTTAACTAGTCACTTGGGGACCTGCAGTTAACGACCTTCAACTAATCTCACAAAGACTTGAAGTTAACGGCCAAATAAATCTCTAATGATTACCCCTTATTAGTAATAGTAGAAATTCGAACTTATAACCTCTTAGAGTAATACACCTAAGAGTTTTAAGAGCATCTCCAAATGATTATTTATATGACTTAAATTCTTTATTATAAAGAATCTATCCATAAAAACAAGAGTCTAACATATTCTTTATCTTTAAAATATAAATTAAAGAGTGAATTTGAGAGTCAAATTTCACTCTCTATCCTAATTTTAATTAATAAATTACAAGTTCCTATGCATTTTATTTATTAATTCTCTCTCTTATTAAGTCTTTTTCTTAAAAATAAAGAACATCTTCATTAAATATAAAGAGTCTATTGGATTTAAATAAAAATTGTGTTATTTATATTTAAAATTAATGAAGATGCTCTTTATTTATCTGAAATATGCTCTTCAAAATAAAGAACACCATTGGAGATTTTCTTAAAAACAAAGAGCATCTTCATTAAATATAACGAGTCTATTGAATTTGAATAAAAATTGTGTTATTTATATTTAAAATTAATGAAGATGCTCTTTATTTATCTGTAAGAGCATCTTCAAAATAAAGAGCATTATTGGAGATGCTCTAAGCAAGCGTCAAACTAACTAGATAGTTATCAAGTCTTAAACAGCAACGAATTTAGGCTTCGTTTGACTCACATTTGGGAATACTATTATTAGTATTCCTAATAAAGTTAAACAGTAAAATTGCAAAAACTCACAATAGTATTCAACTTTTTTTAAACTCCTTAAATTTGTTAATTTAATTAAATACCCTTAAATATTTTTTTAGAAATTACAAAAAAACCCCAACAACCATATTTACCAGATTCCAGGCACCACCGCCGAAAAATGGCCAGAATCTAGTATAATGGCACACTACCAACTGAATCTGGCTGGTAGTGCGCCGATCTAGCTTTTTTCGGTCAAATCCACGACGGATCTGGCCAGAAAAGACTAGATCTAAGGCCAAAGTTCTGGCCGTTGACGACCAAATCTTTGATTGTAGTCAGTCGTCAACGACGACCGACGGTGGTGGCCGACTATCCATATTTAATGAGTAGATTGAGGATGTTTTTGTTAACTTTTAATATTTTATTATAAGAGTTTTTAGTAAATGAACAAACATAGGAAAGGTGTTTAGTAAATAAACAAATATAGAAGGTATTTTTATTTATTTTTAAATCCTACGTCATAATACTCACCGAATTCAACTTTTTAAACTTTTTTCCATAAACTTTTCTAAAAAATATAAAAAAGTGAACCAACCAAAGCCTTGGTCTTTTACTTGTTTTTCCCTATTTTGTCAGGCTGTTAATCACTTCTTTAAGAAGTATTCCAATTCTATTTAAACAAAGTCATGAATACAGTAGCAGTGCGGATATAATTTAATAAAGTTACTAACCCACTTTCCCCGTCTGACGTTACCAATTTATGTTCCTAGGTGGCAGAAAAATGCCGTACCACATTCTTTGCTCAAAGCATTAACAAAACAGAAGACAACAGGTTGGTTATCCATGTAAGTTCACACCAATATAAAATCCAAAATCATAATAGTGATATTATATTTCTCTGAAAAGCCCATCTAAAGATAAGAGTTTAATCAGTAAACGAAAGGAGCAATGTTGCTACAAACATAAAAGCTCTAAATAAACATAACCAAAACACACAACTATTAAGTTCCAAACCATGACGGCCTCTAAAGTTAATTTTAGGGCTGTGCAGCAGTGCAAGAAGAGAGATTAACTAGATATCAACGAGGCTATTCACGTAAGAAACGATCTTACCACTGATGATAGAAGATTCATTCATAAGGATTTTGGCTTCTCTTGTCTTCATGTCATATGAATAAAGTGTTTTCCCTGACTGAAGGACCAAATTATCATCTTGTGCATACAACACACCATCTGGATTAAAAACAGCCCCGCCAGGAGCAGAATCGTCTAAAGTGATAAAGTGTGTTTCCCATGTCTTGATATTACTATGCATTTGCATTGTATTTGTGTATGTATTAGATAACACTTTAACATACAGCTTCTGATGAGATACCGACAACCCGCAAAGTTTACCATTGATCACGCCCAAGGTCCCACCACCATAGTAGAGTTGTGACCGCTCGATTGTGAGATCAAAAGCAAGAATTTTAGTATTCCTTGCTGTCCAATAAATAATACCATTTGCATGAACACCTGAATTTGGCTGGATCTTGCAACTCCCAAGGAAAATCTCACCAGAAGTTCTCCAGGATCCTTCAGCAGAGGAATATATCTCAAATTCGTATCCATCAAGTTCTGATGGAAAGGCACAAACAAGCTTGTACTCAGCCGTAAATTTCAATACTGATGGTTCAAAAATGAGCACAACAGCAGGTTCAGGGCCATGATAATTTTCTGGTTTAGGAAGCTTTTGCCATTGTTTGGTAGCAGGATTGCAAATGTAGTAAGCATTGTAGTCAGTGAGACCCTGGCAGCAAAGTAATCCATTAGAAGAACTCTTAATGTCAACAGCTTCAGGCAAAAACTTCAAAGAAGGGTCCGGAACACCATAGGCCATTGGGTTGAGCGAAAGAAAGGATTGATCACCAGGTGAGGACTGAAAAAAGAAGCCTGAGATCTTACGGAAACTGTTTGACTGGTTGTGTGCAAAGAAAGGAGTCGAGATCAGGAACCTCCAGTCTCGACAAACTCCTGTAAACCGAAAAAGTGATTTAGCTGGAAGGAATTGAAGGGCATGCTCCCGTATAATATCCTTGAGATCCAAGTAGATCTTGTTATTGCTGCTTCCGATGATGGAGCTTTGTTTTTTCCCCTGATCCATATTTAACTGCAACTGGACCTCAAAGTTTATCAGAATGACCATTAGGAATATATAAATTAAAGAAAAAAGTGGGAAGCAGCCCGTGAATCTGATTAGTTATGATGAGAATTTGAGAAGTGCCAGATAATTATTTAATCCAGGGTAAAGTTTTGGTTTTAAGTTCTTTATTTATTTCCAAATGTTGCAGTTATGACCTTTCTGATAACAATTCATTATTACTATATAGAAACCAAACAAATAACTCTACTTCATCGGGGAAAAAAAAAAAAAAAAACACTGAATAATCTTTAGTTGAATATTCAAGAGAAGTCAATAAGTTTGTAAAATAAGTACTCATGCTAGTACCTTAAACTAACCGATTTACTATCAGATTCCTGTATTGCAAGTCATCTTAAACCTTATTGCTTAAATATAACTAAATACCAAACAACTTTTAATGCAACCAAATTAAAATATTTCCAGCCATATAGCTGTCAAGAGACGGAAAGTTCAATCAGTTTCACCAATGGTGTACATGTTTCCCCAAGGTAAAAAGGCACTATATCAATTGGAATATAAGATTCTTTTGAGGTATCAAGCATCTTTTTCCTTCTTTCTGTTCCTACTTCGAATCCTTTCTAACAGAAAATACAACTCCAACAGCCAATTTATCCATGTTAACAGAAGAAAAAACATTAATAGTTGGACTTACAGTCACTCACATGATCAGAAGAAGTAACATTCAATTTTCCAGAAACAGACAACACTTGCTTTTTCCAACTAAAAGTAAAATGAAGTGAAACACGGACACCTAATTTATATTTATTTTAAAGGCTTACAGAATATATATATGTATATTGGTTTTAATCACTTTTTAAACTTGTTTTCTTTTCGGTTTTCTCGGCAACCAAACACAACCAACTGAAAACCTAAAACAAACACATCAATTTCAGACGATCAACGGTTGAAAAAAGATAACCAGAAGACACGTAAACAACACAATGATTAAGTCAATAATAATGATTAACAAAAGGATTAAAGGTAAATCAAAATAACGAAGTTTAGAGTAATGATCAGGTAAAAAGCCATACCTGATGGTGATAATCGTGAAAAACAAAGGCGGGGGATGATGCGACTCGTTGAAGAAGAGCCAAAAATATGTAGTGATAACAAGAGGACCAAGAAATTGTGAGCAGATGGACGTATTTGATTCGCTCTGCTCTCCTAAAGATTTAATTTCAAGTCTTGGTACTTAAGCGATGACTTGAAGCTTGACTTCGACTCCCAAAGAAAACCGTTTTACGAGCTTGTTTGGATACATTGATTATTTGTTCTAGTACGGAATAGCTCTATTCTATATTCACTTTAGAATTTTTAATGGTTTTAAAAAAAATTATTTTTTAAAAAATAAATATAATATAATAAATTAACCTGTGGGATAAGATGTAAGATTTTAGATAAAGATAAACAGATTTTTTTAAAATGATTTTAGGATAAACTTTTATTTTATTTTATTTTTGGAAATTGAGGTGTTTAGGTCAGCTTGCTCATTTCAGAGTCTATTGAATACTTTACAAGCTCAAAAAATCAGTTAAACCACAATGTTATTGTGGTAAATTGACCCTAAGGTTTAAACCCATAAACATAAGTGAGGGAGCAAACATTTTTTACCATCAGACCAACCCTTTGGGGTTTAAATCTAATGTAATCACTATTAGATTGCCTAGAAGGAAAAACCCCCAATTTTTAAAATTGGAAGTTGAATTACTTTACCTAAATATATGAAGTCTTATTTCTCAACTGGGACATAATTCTATTCTATTTCAGACGATTTGAAAATTTGTAACATTCAATGAATTTTCAATTACATTATAATTTAGGCATATCAACTATAGCTTTATTACTAAATACACTCAGTTTGGAATGAAGTAACACCACATACAGAAGATAGAATTTTAATGGCTGATATCACATTATCTCAACCAAAGCATTGGTCAGTTGGGAGAGGTCCTGGAATGGAGCCTTGCTCAAGAAATTGTAAACCAAAGACGACTAGAATGGCAAGCAATGATAAGTATGACAAACCCTCAACGGCTCCCAACAATCCGAAAGGACCATTAGGGAGACCAGAGCCAGTTTTGGTTTTGGTATACAAGGACCAACCCACAATTCCCACAACCGCTAGGTAGCTGACTCCTTCTAGAGCACCAATTGAACCTCCGGGACCGGGGGGTAGGCCGCACCCAGTGGTTTTGAGAGTGTAAAGAGACCACCCAATCACTGGAGTTGAGACTAATCCACCACCTATTGCTGCTTTTTCTAAAACTCCATTGCCACTTTCACTGCTCTCCTTGGTCATGCTTAATACCTTGAGTGGGGTGTGAAAGTGCAACCTTGATCTTCTCTTGTGTTGTGGTGATGATAGTGAGGCGGACGTGGAGATAACAGCAACACTTTGAGACTCATGTTGTCTAGGGTGTGAAGTGTGGCTGTGTAGCCAACTACAAACACTTTTGAGGGAGGTGAGACTATTTAGCGCCTTATCCATGCTTGTGTGATAACTGTGGGTAGGTAGGTCCAATCTTAATTAAAAAAAAAAATCTCAAATACTTATAAAAGCATTAGCAATGTTTTATTGGACAAATTACCTTGGTCAATCGAATAGTTCGATAGAAATTCTTGGATGTATTTTCAAGAAGGTTTAATAGGGATAGTCTTAAGCCTTACCTAGCCGGTAGTTTCAGGATCTCACGAGATTAGTTGAGGTGTACGTAAACTGGCGGACATACCTAATCATCGAAAAAAAATGTTTATTGATGGACAAGTATTTCACATAACTTTTTCTCCTAAATTTGTTCCAAGTTTTTATATAATTTTTTATTCATTAAAGTGATTAACAATGTGTTATTTTAAATATAAACCGTGTAGGTTTAATTTAAACTTATCATACAAAAAAAATTGATCCACCAAGTCAAAAATTGTATTATAATTTGTTCAAAAAAAAAAAAAGGGTGATGCAATTGAAATTTATATAAAAGGGTTTTAAATACTCACGAGAATAAATAACTTGATTTTTTTTATTATTTCCTTTCATTATATGATTGAGAGGTACAAATGAAATGACTTAATTATTAATTCAATAAGTTGGAATTTGAAAATGATTAGATGGACTAAAATAAATGAATCAATTTCATTAACCCTGCTGTAATAGAAAGATAAATTTCAATATTATAGTCAAATATATACGCTATAATGTAACAACTTAATATTGAAGATCATACATATGGAGCCTGAATAAAATGAAAAAAATGATGACTTGAAGAGCACGTGCCAGCAGAGTGACAGTTTGTCAAGCGAGAATAAGTGAATAACCGAGTGGCTCCTCAAACTTGGATCCTTCTAATTACCAGTGATTAATGAACTCGCTGCTACAGTTTTAACAGAGAAAATGTAGGCTTCAGCTGCGAGCTTGAATGAAGCTGTGGACCTTGAGCTGGGCTGGGCCGGGCCGAGAGAGTCGAACAATGAGATTCGCTGCACCGATATTTAAATAGCCGTGCACAAGCGCCGAGCAAATAAATACTTGTATCCGAAAAGAGGCAATTAATCTACCAAAGAACTCAGGAGCACCACCATACAAAGCATCAGATGATAAATTAAGTGGATCATGGCTACTCAACCGTTAGATGATCACTGAATACCCATCAAGCTAACAGGCCCCATATATCACATGACTTCAGAAACCTTGGAAGGGGAATAATTCGGGACCAGGTTAAAACTAATGAAACCCCTTCGCTATCTACATAGAATTAAAATGCCACCTGTCCAACAGCCCTGCAACTCATAAATAAAGCAGGCTACCAATCACAGCTTGACAAATTATATAATGATAAAAGGTATTGAACACGTCAAACGCCCACTTGAAATTGATTGAAAATTGAAAACTATCTACATAGCGATGCGTTTTACAAGCCCCTTTTTAAAACCCCCGCTTGGACAAACAGAAGGAAAAAAACAAAAGATTTTTGAGAATATTTAGTTTCCCTCCATTTAGAACCCCCTTTTGAAACAAAAGCACTGATGGGTTTGGGCGGTGAGAGTGAGTTCTCTCCCTACATAACTGCCATTTGAAAATATCATAGCAACGGCTATGTAAGAGAGGGCAAGCGGGAAAGAACTACTAACAACCTTTTGAACTAAAGGTTCCACCCAAGATAAAAGTTTCTTTCTCTATCTATCTATCTATCTTCTTCCTAAACATTGTCATTGTCCAAGAAGACATAGCCAAAATCACTACCAACCAATCTATCCAACTGTTTTTTTCCAGACATTAACTAAACATCTACGAATGAGAGATGGAAAACAGCTAATGGTGCTTCTTTGATGATGATTCAACAACATCCTCATCATCCTCACCACTGTCATCTTCATCAACATCATCACCTCTCTTTCTCTTCAGCTGTGACGGAGCTGCTGGCAAATCTTGAACTTCTTCATCATCTTGTACTTCTTCTTCTTCAACTTCCTCTTCATTCCCTGCCTCCATATCACTGCCTCCACCATCATCTTCTTCAGCCTGCTCCACTGGCTGAACTAGGTACCCTGCACCACAGTCTTCCTCCTGCCATTCCAGAGAACTTCCCACAGTTAGAATCAGAGAACAACCAAATAATATATATATATATATAACCACAACTGAACAAAAATTCTGAAATACAAAAAGCACTTAAAGGAAAAACTGCAAAACCGATATTACACAAAAGAGATAACACATACTTAAAAAGCAAATCAAAACCATGGTTAAATCCAAAATCATGCAAAGACTATTGGACAATAAAACTCAATTAAAAGAGAGATGAAAAATAATCAATCAAGCATGTAAAGCACAAGAGTTGATCAGGTTACTAGTTTAACTAATATTTAGAGTAAAATAATGCTGCAGTCACAAAATAATAACCGCATAACAAGCATATATCTGTGCATAAATCAGTAAAAGAATATAAAACTAGCATAGACAACCAAAATAAAAATCACATTCATGGTTCAGGTCATTGAAACAGCAACAAGGGCACATCTGACTGGTTAGATACAAAAGTAACTTGATGTATTTAACTGCATCCGACGAGATAATATCACATGTAACGACCAAGTACCCTCACCAATAATCTCAAATACAAAATTCCCACTAAATGCCAAGCTCCATGTTAATGAACAATTAAAGACATTCCCCCTAAAACCTGGACAATATGATTAACAAATAAGAAGTCAAAAAGTTCCCTAAAAACATGAAAAAACAGAAATGACATCATGTCACATCTTATAATGCAATACTGAATGTTGAGTATAAAAAAAAAATCCTGGGAGCTAAATTTTGAAAATGCAATTACCAAATCATTCGACAACCATTTTCAAAACTTACATAAAAAATCTCATGTGCAAAAAAAATAAGTGTTCACTCTGNTGAACAATATGATTAAGAAATAAGAAGTCAAAAAGTTCCCTAAAAACATGAAAACACAGAAATGACATCATGTCACATCTTATAATGCAATACTGAATGTTGAGTATAAAAAAAATAAAAAAAAAATATCCTGGGAGCTCAATTTTGAAAATGCAATTACCAAATCATTCGACAACCATTTTCAAAACTTACATAAAAAATCTCATGTCCAAAAGAAATAAGTGTTCACTCTGTTCTTAACAGACACAGTGTATGCCATAGCTTCAAAGAAAAAGTCAATGAATCGAATTTTCAATCCTCTGAGGTTGATCATTTTTAAGGCTTTAGACAAAGGAAACACCAAATAAGCAAACAACAATAAGATAATAGAAACATATAATCTTTTTCCTAGTACATCTATAAACTACAAAGAGCGCTTTTCAAAATTCACAAGTCATGAATAAATAACTGTTTAATAGAAGTGGGAACATCATGTTTAATTGAATGACCCAAAAGCATTTATTTGCTCTACAGCAACACGCTTTCAGTCACAAAACGGAAGCTATGACATCAAAAAAATTGCGAAGGTCTAATTTCGCTGCCGAATTTGTGTTAAAAAAGATATAAAAGTTAACTGCAACAAAAACATATACAATAATGCAAGAAATTAAACAGCATTAGCACATATGCAACTTAATAGCAGACAAGTAGGCTTCTCATCTGAAAACACAACCAGCAAAAGATCCATTAACCCAACAAACATCCTCAGAAATTAAAATTTTAATAAAGAAAGCACAAATAAGATTGTATATCATTCTCACCTCCTCTTCATCTTCAATTTCAAACTCCCCATCATCCTCAACAGCTTGCTCCTCCTCCCCAGTCTCCCCATCATCGTCACCATCTTCCTCCCCCTGCTCATGACCATCAATCTCTCCTTCCGTGCTTGTCAACCTCCCTGTACTCTCAGGGTCAGCAAAATACCCATCTATCTCATCATTATCCACCTCCTCTTCTTCATCTTCATCATCGTTATCATTATCGTTATCGTTATCATTATCATCATCATCGTTATCATTATCATCCTCATCATCATCCTCAACTCCATCTTCCTCATCATCACTTTCCCCAACGGCAGCCACATCTTCTTCCTCAAAAATTTCCTCTCCGGATTCAATTTCATCATAATCGTAACCCTCATCTTCAAAATCTACATATTCCCCATTCACATTTTCATGTCCATTTGTCTGATGGCTCGTCTCATTGGGCTGTCGGGCAGTCTCAGTCTCTTCTTCATCTGCATCACTCTCTTCATCCTCTTCAGCATCTACAATCCCTTCTATATTCTCGCTGTGCCCATTATCCCTCCTAAACAGCCTATCCTCACCATCGACTTCTCCACTCCCAGGATCATCCTCATCATCTTCATCGTCATCATCCTCCTCATCATCGGATTCAGGCCTCTCGTTCTCCTCTGCATCCATCTTATCCAAGTACTTCAAGGACTTGATCATTGCAAAAACCCTAGATCGATAATCTTTCACTCTGGTGACAGGACACTCATACAGATCGAGAGAAATGAGCTTAAGTTGAGCCAAGGGCGCTAGATCTTCAATGAACTGGATCCGGTTGTTTGACAAATCAAGGTCGCGAAGGGAGTCCAAGCCCGCTTGAACCAGAAATTCTAGGCCTCCTGCGATGCGGTTGTCAGAGAGGATAAGTTTCTCAAGGTTTTTGAGTCGTGGAAACTGCTCTAGCGATGAAACTCCTATATTCGCAATCGAAAGAAGCTCAAGGTTGTCAAATCTCTCTAGAAGACTCGGCGGTGGCAACCGCCCTTGTACACACTTCACCGCGCCGTCTAGAGTTAACGTTCGAGCCGCTTTGTGGTCCTTTTGACCGTCTAAAGCTGTTTCCACCGCTCTCTCCCAGATCTCATCCATCAAATACGAAACCCTATATCTCATACAACCAACTATTTCTATAACCTACAATTTGTTTATATACTCAACTTATTTACCTTTCCTTTTTTATGGAGAAATTGATTAAAAGCATACAGAACAGTGATTACTGATTTTAGGGCCAAGCTAAGAGCACTAGGATATAAGAAAAAATAGTAATTTCATGGTGAAAAGGAAATAAACTTTTGAACCAAACAGTAGCCTTAACAGTATGACTAGATTTCAAAGATCTATGGCGGACTTGATAGGTTTTATCAAATTTAAAATTCTTCAAAACCCTAATCCTAAATTTTCTGGTGTACGGTACCTCTTCTTCGATTGCTTCAAGAGAAACACACAAATGTAATTAAACCTAATTTTGTTTTTCTCTCTCTGTTTCTCTCACTTTCTCTCTCTTGTTTTTATTGGCTAAAAGGAGGCGAGTCGGGATAAGCCTGCGGGCGCGCGGTTCGCGGCTAGGGTTTGGAAGTGGCCAGACTAAGTGGTGTATATATTTGCGCGTTTGAATTATTGCTGAGATGTGAGACGTTGGATTCAAGAGGACGCGGATCGATGACTTGGAAGAATGGACGGCAGAGATTGGGGATATATGTGTTTGTTTTCGAGAAGGATGTAGACAGGCGAGAAAGGATATGAAAGAAGAGGGGACTGGGGATCTTGAGTTTAAACACGTCACATTTCTGTGTAAATATCGGGGCGGCTAAAGAAATGCCATAGAGATTTCGATAAATTACGCGTGTGCCATGAGCATGCAACGTTCGGATTAGCTAAGCGTTATGTGACCCGTGGATCGTTACAAAGACTATCGTGTAATACAGACGCATGATTACTAAGGTGTTACTGACCGCTTTAGCCTTTAGATCTAAACGGTTGAAAAAAAATATCTAGGAGCTCTCACAAGTCACAACTTTGGTACCGTTGTAAATCTCTAATATAGCGATGTATATCAGATGTTTTTTAATTTATATAAACAATTGGTAAGATATGTATCATTCATGATTAAATAAATGTTATTTGAAAATAACAATTTCTGTACGAAGAATTGGTCTTCCCATAGAGCAATTATTCCATTCTCTCAAACATTTTTTTTCTGTTAGTTTTAACATTACTCACTCCTTCCTCATAAACACCGTTTCTCCGTCACAAAATTTCAAATCCCATCAAATGCTTGTTGAAGTTACAGCTTGTAGGCAAAAAATAATACCAGAGACACAAATCACACAATCCATTCTCGTAACCTTTTTTTCACGATCTTTGACATGACAGTTTCTTAGTAGTTAACTAGCCATTAGTCAGTTCGCAAAATAGATCCCACTTACTTTACGAGCTAACCAATAATGAACAAACAAATATTGAATGCAAAAACCTACCGAATTCCAAAATAAACTGTACACAGCTCAAGCCTAAAATATAACAACAAAACTACCTCTCAGCGTATCAGATACACGAGTACCAATTGTACTACACATCTGAAGGATAAAATATAAGAACAGAATATATCAAAAATCAAACAAACAAATATTTTGAGGTGCCCAATCCATCCATGGGCAATTCTGTGACAGTTCAACAGACTGGATATTTATTCTAACATAATGAAATATGTTGCATGATGCATGAAGTGACACAAAAACTAAAAATAATTAAGAACTAAGAATTCAGAACAATCTTATATAATTTTTATGGTTATGGTAATATATACCAGAACGCAGGACTCATTTCTCTAGAATCACTTGGTGTTTGCATATTGTTTGGCTTTTTTACGTTCATTTTGAACCCCAGTTCCCTTAAGCTCAATTTTATCTGGGAGGAACTTCGATGGATATACTTGAACACTAACAGTAGACCCACAAGAAGATGGGGGCCTAAATGGCCACATGATTGAACTCACATTTGAAGCTGAAGTAATCGAAAACTGGCTAGGCCTTACAGAATAAATAGTAGCCTTTGTGTTCTCATCTACCTTCTAGTATAACTCTTGATAATTAGACTGCATATCGATGTTGTCCCCTCAAGGAACTCTCTGAGTTTTCTCTCCAGCTGTCTGAACATTAGAAGCTGCAAATGGAAGCCAATGCTGCGTGTAGGACAGGCAAATTCAACATAGTGGCATTCGCAACACGAGCACCACCCCTGAGATTTCAAAAACTGCAACTTAGATGCTAAGTTTGGGGTTATTATACAAAAACCACCTTTTATTTAGGAAATTAGTCATATATCACCCTTCCCTCAACTTCCATTATAAAAAAAATATGTATATATATATATATAGAAAATAAGAATTTTACCCATAGGATTTAACTTATCCTATATCTCTTACTAAGTTAAAAAATTAAAACTAATTTTTCCCTTTTTCTTTTAAAAAACTAAAACTAATTATTTTTCTTTTTTTCTTCCCTTTTTTTTCCTCTTATTTTCCTTTCCTTTTCTTTTCTTCTTCTCATTCCATCCCCTCCCATCTCTCCCTCCTTTCGATTCATTTTAAACAAAAAAAATCAGCCTAAATGTGAAAACTAAACAACCAAAGTGGCAGCACCAATGGTGGAGATTCAGCCCATCAAGGCCACCTGCGACCTAACGCCACAGCCCAGCAATGCCGAGAAGCTAGTCGTAGCAGGTAGCCTGCGGCGCTGCTGCTGCTGTCGCAAAGCTGAAGGTGGCCTGCAGCTACCAACTCACGGCCTGGCACTGCATCCCAATGGCCACGCTCGCAGCCTCCAACACTCATCAGCTCAGCCTATCTCTTCCTGCCTCCTGCCTCCTACCATCACAACACAACTCAACATTGCCCAGCTCCCACACCTCTCACCTTCACAGAACAAGCTGAAGAAACATAACCTAAAGACTAATCAAATTAACCAATCAACAGACCCAATATTGCCTCGCACCTCCCACCATCACAGAACAAGGCAAGAATTTAACCTTCAGACTATTTAATTTAGTGGTGTGGGTTTTAGCTTATATTGTTTGTTTGTAATGATTATGTCTTATGTGTTGATTTTTTATTTCTGGTAAAGGGTTCGATTCACTTCGTTAAATTTATGTTTATCTTTATTTATTTTAAATATATCTGGATTGAATTTTAATATTTGGTAAAGGGCGGACTTCACTTAGGTATTCAAGTAGAATTTTTAATAGAAACTGGATGTAAAGACGTATTACCCCTGTTCATCCACATCTAACTGTCACTCTTTGAAACATCAGGGATAGTTGTTGCAATTAACTCTAAATATTTATATCATAACATGTACATATGTAATAAAAAAATTGAAGAGATTAAGCAATTGTAGTAACAGTTAAAAATGCGATTTTTACGTTAATATAAAATAACAATGTCTGCACAAAGAGTTGGTCTTCCCATATAGGAAAGTGGTTCAAAAATATAAAACTTTAAAAAAAATTCTTCCATTCTCTCTGACTTATCTGTTAGTTTTAACACTAATCACTCCTACCTCATAATCCCCCTTTCTCCATCTTCTTTAGTTGGATTCCTCTAAGGCAACTCCAAATTTCAAATCCAATGGCATTTCAATTTGAAGTTAAAGCTTCTAGTTCAACACAAAAACCTACCAAATTCACAAATTACCATACACATCTCAAGCCTAAAATATAAGAACAAACTACTTGTCGCCCACCAAATACACAATATCAATTGTATACATCTAAATGGTTAAAACATAAGAAGAAAACTAGCTCTAGCTCATCAAATGCACAATATCAATTGTACACATCTAAAGGTTAAAATATAAGAACAGATTTATCAAAAATCAAACAAACAAATATTTTGTTGTTCCCAATCCATCCATGGGCAATTCTGTGACTGTTCAACAGAATGGATATCTATTCTAACATGAAGAAATATGTTGCATGATGCATGATATGACACAAAAACTGTCAAAATAATTAAGAACTAAGAATTCAGAATTCAGAATAATCTAATATAGTTTTTATGGTTTCAGTGATATTTACCAGAATGCAGGACCCATTTCTCTAGAATCACTTGGTGTCTGCATATTGATTGGCATTTTTACGTTCATTTTGAACACCAGTTCCCTGAAGCTCAGTGTGATCTGGAAGGAACTTCGATGGATACACTTGAACAGTCACAGGAGATCCGGAAGAGGATGGAGGCCTAAATGGCCACATAATTGAACTCACGCTTGAAGCTGGAGTATTCAAAAACTGGCAAGGTCTTACAGTAGTAATAGAAGCCTTTGTGTCCTCATCTACCTTCTGGTCTAACTCTTGATAATTAGACTGCATATCAATGGTGTCCCCTCGAGGAACACTCTGAGTTTTCTCTCCAGCTGTCTTAACATTAGAAGCTGCAAATTGAAGCCAGGGCTGTGTGAAGGACTGTGGCAGGTTCAACATAGAGGCATTTGCAACACGAGCATCAACACTACTTTCAGCTTCTAAGAGCTCATTTGGCTTAGTCTCTGGCTGCTTATCTTTGTCCAAAGAAGTCACTTCACCTGAATCAACTTTAACTGTTGATGTACGGCCAGAAGCAATTGTAGTAGTGGGAAATGCTTTCTCCGGAGGGACAGCTGGAATATAATTAGATGGGAGCAGGTCATCCCAGTTCTCCAATAACTCCTTGTATACTTTTCTTAGTGTAACCTCAGTCAGACCTGTCACTTTACAAATCTCAGCCTGAGTTTTGCGTTTGTCTTCTAACTGGCAGGCCAGATATATAGCAGCTGCAGAGATGCTAATGGGGTTCCTTCGAGTACAAAAGCATTTGTTAATTACAACTTCTCCAATGTGAGTTGCCAGCTCCTGAGAAAGTTACAAGGAGTCAATTATGCCCAAGGTTTGAACAGAAAGTATAACACCTTAATCTTCCAACAGAACGATATAATGCCATCAAATAATACTACAGGTAGATGTATCTATCAGAATTTCTTTTAAGTCCAGTTGGTAGCCAATATAATCAGGATAGAAATCAAATTTGGAATTTTGCAGCAGTATCTTTCACTGATGTTGGTTCACATATTCCTCTAAATTCCAATCCATTTCGATATATAACACAATTTCTCATGATAAGAATCCCTTACTCCCTTTCAGTTTTAAAATATTTCAACAGTTTTCTTGAGATGCATAACCAATACCGTTTCGCAATTTAGTTACAAACATAAACACACAAACAAAGGATTTTCCTCTCCCTATTTAGTTGTTAAACTTACTGCTACAAGTTTCATAACTGCCACAAGATTCAGCCAAAACGAGAACACGGAGAAGAAGTTACCTGAGCAGATTTGTTGAGTTGAAGAAGAGTACAAAATCTGGGCATATGAACTGATATGGAGTTGCTATTAATAGGCTGGCTCAGTTGCAAAGCCTCTCCAAGTATCTTTATGTACTTCCCAATCTCCTTCTGAGGCACATTAGCCGCAATCGAAATCTCCTATTGTTTTAAAGCAGATATCAAACATAGAGACATCATAGACCTTCACCTAAATAAAATTAAAACTAAAGAAATAAAAATAAAAATTACCTGGAGTGTTCTGGGCTCTTGGGCCTCCCTAATGGCCTGAACAAGAGCAGCAGTGGCAAGAGCCTCAACGCTCCGGTTCCTTAAACAAGTTGCTGAACAACAATCTCTAAACAACTGAAATGCGTGATCAGATATATCATAATCCAAATCTAAAATTGACGCCACGTCAATGATCTGCATATATGCTCTTAAATTATCAACCACAACCGTTGATGACGTGGAGGTTGAAGAAGAGGATATAACTTCGAAGGTTCGTTCAAGCTCAGCGAGGTGGCCAAAGAAGGAGTGAGAGGAGCGGAGGAAGAGTGGGCTGGGCTCCAGGGACCAGGTGGAGAAGGCCGTGATGAAGCCCGTCGGCTCGAAAGGGTCGTCGTCGTTGTTCTTGTTTTGAAGAGCGGGGTTGATGGTGGGGAGATCGGAGGTCACGAGGCAGAGTGGGTTGTCTTGTGCCCGGAGATGGTATAGGTGGTGGTTTTGGGACTGTCGCTCTTCGACGACTCTGTCGCATGAGGTGCACTCCGTGATTGAGCGGCCAGTGGTAGTGGTGGCGCAACGTCCCTGCGCCGCTGAGCAGTAGGGACACTTCATCTAGGCTCCGGTTGTCTCGTTAATTAGCCTCGATCATTTGTGTTGATCAACTTCTTTTGTTTATTATTCTCTACTTTTCAGTGAAGAAATGAGTGAAGCCACGAAACGAGTAACCAAACACAGGGTCTCATGAACCCCCAATTCTGTTGATAACGACATTCAAGAACGTTAAACTTTGCATAAAAAATTAGGGCAACTATGTAACTAATAAAAATTGAAACATGTAATTAAATGAGTTTAAATCAATCATTCATCAATTAAAACATTATTCGCTCATTCGTTAAACACAATGTATTATGAAATAACGAGATTGATTAAGAAGAAAAAAATATCATTTTAAAAATGGAGTTATTTTTGTGATTAACGTCATTATTTTTCTTCTTTTAGTTTATGTTGGCAAACCCGTAAGCTTATGATATATACATGTAATGAGGAGAAAATTTAGCTGACCGGCCATTCCAAGTTTGGATTTAAAAAAATGACCTTGAAACTGTTTATCATTTTTTTTTTATTTAGAGAAGCTAACGTGGCACAGTTAGGATCTATTAAACATGTAAATTGGGTTAAAATGAAAAGATTAAAACATATAAGGACAAAAATAATTAATGAAAGTTTTTAAAATTCAAAAATTGAAAAAAGAGCCCCAAATATTCAAATCGCTTAATCGAAACCAATTAAGGCAAAAATCGATATCTTCAATCCCTAAACGCATCCGTGCAATTTTCGACGATAATAGTCCACGTTCCGGCAAATTTTCACACCCAAATTCAATCCTAAAGCTTCTTCCTTTCTTAAAACTATGGCAAACATTAACAATGAGGAGGAAAACCCAACGCCTCTTTGAATCGTAGAGTCCGGCCGCGCAAGCAGTTCAATGGCTGCTTCGGTGGATCCTCCGATCAGTGAAGGTGTTCCAACAGCGGAGACGACGGCGGCACAACAAGAGAGAGAACAGGAGCAAAACGGTTCTGAAGAGGAAGAGGAGGCCGGGCAGAATTCAGGCCAGGAAGAGGAGTCCGGCGAGAGTTCAGCGGAGGAGAAGGAGGTCGCGGAGGAGGAGGCGCCAAAGAAAAGGTATTTGTACTTGCCGAGACCTAAGATCGCTTAAGGATCCTTTGTGTCGATTAAGTGATGATGACTTTTACTCTGGTCGCTTAAGCTATTGGATTGCTTAAGAGTAAAAGCGATGAATCGCTTAAGCGATATAAACGATGCTTAAGCAAACTTAGATCTGGCAGATGTTGATTCTGCCTCGTACAAGATCTCTTAAGCGATCTGTAATTGCTTAAGCGACCAAGAGTAAAAGTGAATGAATCGTTTTTACTCTTGGTCGCTTAAGCGATTTAAGATCGCTTAAGCGATCTCTTCCGAGGCAAAATCAAATCTGCCCAGATCTATAATCTCTTAAGCGATCCTTTGTATCGCTAAGCGATTTTAGATTGCTTAAGAGATCTTTATAAGGAGAATCATCTGCCCATCGCTTAAGCGATTCTTCCGGACGTATTTCGTTATATAGATTTGGTTTAATTTTTTTGCTGATATTTTGTTATATCGATTGTACAGATTTTCGGAGCGTCGAGCGTAAACTATAGAGAGTACAGATTGGAGGTTGTAAGTGTATGGTATCATACTTCCTATGAGGGTGACAGTGAGGTCAAGTTAGGATGTTTTAACGAGAATAATGGGGATTGGGGCAGTGAGGAATGGTGAAAGGAGATTCAAAGAAACATTGTTTCAGTCATTTTTTGGATATGGACACAAAAAGGAAAAGACATTTAGGGGTCGGGAGTGCATTATATGTTGCTGCACTCAATAAAAAGCAACAAAAAGTACGAAATGTGGTTCATGGTGGATGGAAAGCCAATACGTTTCGGGACGATGGAATATGCGTTGGTGACTGGCTTAAGATGTGGGGAATTGCCAGGTGAGGTTGAGGAAAAAAAAAGATAACGGACAGTACGGGAGCCCAAAGGTTGGTTAACAAGGTTTTGCGGGGAACAAGTCTATTAAGGCACAGGAATTAGAGGACAAGTTAAAAGATGGTGAGTTTAACGATTCAGAGGCGTTCAAACTGTGCTTGTATTGTTCTTACATTCGATCCTAATGGCTAGTGACTCAACAAAAGCCATTGATATTGATTGGGTGAGTTTGTAAAACTTGAACTTTTTTAATGCTTATCCGTGGGGACGGGTATCATTTAAGCGAACGATGGGTCCCTGCAAGCAAAAGACCTGGGTAAGCACTCCCAATGGGACGAAGAAGAAAGACCGATGACGTACAATTGTTTGGCTTCCATGGGCATGCAAGGTAATATTAATAGCTTTTTGTTATATTTTTTTTAATATATGTGTTGAATTATGATATGGACTGTTTTTTTTCAATGTAGGCTTGGATGTATGAGGCAATCCCTGTCCTGGCTAAGGCAGGGGGGAGGATTAGGGCTTCGATTGTGCAACAAACATTTCCTAGGATGTTGCGGTGGCAGACCAGAAGTGTACCCATTCGGATTATGAGCAAATAGAGATTGAAATTCATCAGTCGAGGAGATTAAAGGATTAAGCTTGAACATGCACTTGCTTTAAAATGTCGATTAAATCTGATTGATTTTTGTTCTTATGTAGGGGGTTGTCCACCCTTCTCACGCTACTGGGGGTGAAGGTAACAGCACTATGTCACATATTTCCAAGCACTGGAGGATCAAAGAGATGAAGGGATAGACCGCTGATGCGGGACCTACAAGGGGTCACACATGTGAGGGCAGTTGCAGGCCACTGCTTGAGATGTGGTTGATGCCGAGGAGGATGAAGCCGCAATTGGTGGGAGGGAGGAGGAGGGAAGGCAGGAAGAGGTTCGTATGCCTCAGAAACCGGTACAACAAGTACCGCTTTGCCGAGGCGTCGGGGTCGGGAGAGTGAGGTGGTTGACCTATAAAGAGCTTGTTTGATAAGAGGAAGAGCAGTTGAAAAGGGTGGAGGAGAAAGTGGATAAGGTGGCAGAGAAAGTTGTTAGGGTGCGGAGGAAGTTGGTGGAGTATTAAAGGCGGTTAAAATGCAACTTGGGCTGAAAAGAGAGAGCCGAAAGAGCAGGTTTGTGAAATCGCCTTACACCGTACTAACATTGGAATTAAGAGGAAAACAAATAAACAAATTGAGGAAGAAGCCAAAATTGAGGGGGTTAAAGAGGTTTCTGGAGGAAGTGGGGCAGTATAATAGAGGAGGTTGAGGCGGGAGGCGAAGGAAGCGGGGATGTACAAAATGGGGAAGGGGAGGAAGCGGGCAAGCAAAAATGGAGTCCACTGTCGATTTGTATAGGCCAATGAGGAGGAAAATAAAAACCCTCTATGCCTATTACAATGAATCCAGAAGTGATGCCCTTGTAAAGTTAAGATCGGGGATTATTCTCGAGATTGGTTTGAAAAGATTTTGATGATGGGCAGCTAGCTTCACGACTCGGTGAGTTATTTTCGATTAATTTTCCTTATTTTTGCTTATGTTTTCCATGAGGTATTGTATACTTATCATGTGTTTTTATTTGATGCAGCACATCAATGAGGTTTGGCACTGATAGGTTGCGACAAACCAGCAATGGTGATCTACTGTATCCTGATTGTGCCATCACCGATGTGGCTTTTGGCCAAACACTGGTATCGACATATCGCAATTTATTGAAAAAGGTCATGGTACATCTGTAGCAAAAGGAGCCAGAGAAAACGATCGGGCACAAGAAGACTTAGATTGCGTCCTAGATTTTAAGTTTGATGACAGGATGATGCAGTATGTAATGGGGGACAGGCCCAAATGGCCACATTGGCAAAGGTAAAAGTGTCTACTGCATAATCCTGGTCAAGGAAATGCATTGGATAGCAGTCGTCGCGCTCTTAGAGGAGAGGTTGCTGAAGATCCTTGACTGTAACCCAACAATTTGTCAAGACAAGCAGTTGGAGGCCCGGTTGGAGCCAGTTGTTCCCATAGTGTTACGCGAGAGCGGGATGTTTGAGCACCTCGGTGATGAAGCATTGACCGGAAAGTGGCCACTCAAGCGCGTTCCCGTCCCAACAAATGAGTCAAGGTAAATTTTGTATAAAACTAACTTACTAATAGAATTGTTCTATAAGCTGATTCTAATGCTAATGTCATCTCCTATTGCAGTGCGATTGTGGGAGCTGCCCTGAAATTTATTCAGTTCGACATGACCAACACCGCCTGGACGGATTGAATGACGAAACAATGACCATCTTTCGAAAACGATGGGTTGTTGAGTGCTTCCATGGGGAAATGGATCCGTTTTGAGGACCACAACCCAATGAAAAGGTTTGGAACTTGTACTTTAATTTGTAGTTTATGTGTGTTGATGTTGATACTTGGGTTGTGGTGCTGATGTTGCAGGTGTCATGCTATACACAGCTTACCGAAATAGACGGACTCATAGTGAACTTTTCAATCTTGCACTCCCTAACTTGGGTTCATGAAGAGAGAAAATTTTACTCCCCGGATCCCAACTTTCCATTTAACAAATGGGCCTGAAAACTTTTTTTTTTTTTTTGTGTTTTATTAGAAAAGCTGACGTGGCTGTAGGTGTGCGGATAATTTTGTAGGTTGTTGGAAACAATGAGAGGGAACTTCTTAAACTGGCTTGGTCTGTCAAAGTAGGCTGCCGGCAAGGCATCTGCAATCAAGGCTGGTGGCCAGGAGGAGGCATTGCAATCAAGGCTGCTGGAAGCCATGGTACCATGAAATGATCTCAGATAGTGATTAATCGAATTTGAAAACTTCTCAAAGTGGCGGCATCTGCAATCAAGGCTGCTGGCAAGGCATGGTACCAAAGAAGATCTCAGACAGTGATTATTACCGAATTCCAAAACTTGACAAAGTGGCTTAGGATTTATTCATTTTTGGCACTATTATGAATGATTTTAAGTTTAAACTTTCAATTACATTGATGTCTCTTATATTTTGATCTGTGATGGATTAGATTGATATAAATGACTTCATTTTGCTGCTTATTCTTTAAGTATTTGGGAGGAAAATGAGTTATAAATGACAGATTATTACATAATACAGGAGAAATGTAGGATTCTTCTCTTTTTGTCATGATCGCTTAAGCGATATATGAGCGAACACATATATCTCTTAAGCGACCAAGATTTTTTTTTAAATGATCGCTTAAGCGATTG